GAGATCCTAAGATCACTTGCTAGATCCCTTGATAATCTAACTTAACTGAAAAATTTAATTATATTTGGGGATGTGCATACGAGGGTTAATTGTTAGAAAAGTTCGCGGACAAGTTCTATTGTGAGCGCACTATTCATATGAAACCAGTGAAACTTTGAAGACAAAAACTATATGTATTTTCCAAAAAAATATGCAAAGATTGTTGTTTCCCGATGATCCTTAAATATATATATACAGCTATTTTATTTTGATAAAACATGCTTCACGAAGCAAATCACCTTTTTGCATGTTTACATTACATAGAATTTTTTTTTTTTTGAAATTGAAAATTGTACTGTTGTAGCTCATAAATCTTTATGATATTTCACCTGCCGTTACAATATTCATGAAACCTCATTTGGCGAAATTGGAGGGGTTTTGACTGTTTTATCGCTAATTATAGATCCTCAATGCGTAAAAATAAAGTCAAGAATGGCAACGTCATTGAACGTCTTGAAGCACAGAGGTATCAAAAAAAATTGTGTGCAGACAGGAACATACCCGAAAGAGTCTAGATGTTTTTAGATGCCGCTGGGATTGTCTACACGTATCTAGGACTAAAATGTTAAAACGGTAGTAGCTTTGTAAGAATGGAAGGATTTACATTTATGATGATGATACCCAAATATCCCGCTTATCGCATGGACGCTGCGCTTATGGATTTTGCGTTGTTTCTCTGCTGATCGTTTTATTGCGTATAGTCAATGATTCTAAGATCTCATTAATTAATATCCGGTACGCCACAAAAAGAGATTTTAGGGGAAAATGTAACATGTCTCGATATACATTTATTCAATTTTTAAGTAGGTACAAGACATGAAAAGTCTACAGAAATGAAAGATATTTAGACCTGTGAAAAAAGCTTAACAGGTTTGGAATCAATATGTCACGTCACCTAGCGTCAAGTGATTGCTCCGTGAATCCTATGACCGCACAATGAAAATTAGTGTATATTTTCAAAATTTTAGTAATTGGACCCGACTTTCTACACACTAATGAACTGACCTGAAATTAAAAAAAATAGATATATTTAACATTCTATAGTACTTTTTCAGAATATTCCAATGAAATAAAAAATCACTCTCTAAGATTATTGTATATTGAATATCCAACAACATGCATGTTTTGTGCATAAATTATTTCTAATAGCACATAGATATAGGCTCATGTATTAATTATCTGCAAAGAGAGAGCTCGATAGATCAAAATTTCATTCATAAGTTTTCCACTTAAAGAACGATAACTTATCTTGCCTAATTCAATGTACGATAAAATATTGAGATAATTATGGCGCATACATATTGCTACGCACAACTGATAAGAGTTTTCTCTACCATCATGCTAGACCAAAAGTTGAATTTTAATGTAACACATGCGCGGATCTAGAGGGGGGGGGGCGGTCAGACCCCCTCCCCCCCTCTGGAATTTGCAGAGTTATTATAAGTGTATTCTAGAGCAAATAAAAAATAATTTTGGAACCCCCCCCCCCCCCTTAGAAAACGTGGACCCCATCACCACCAAGAAATAGGTTTTTTTTTCATGTATGGGAAAATGGATTTTTCCTTCTTATCTTTTAATGCAGGTTTGTGGAACCCACCCAAGGGGGGGGGGGGGGCTCCAACTTTTTCTGAATATAGTATTTTGCTATAGTAATTTTCCTTTAGGTGCTGCTTGGACCCCATCTTTTTTATTTTCATTTATTTATTTTATTTTTTGATTGCTATAAGGTCGAGCAATGGCAAATTCCAGGATTTTGACACTATTTTTTTTTTTTTTGGGGGGGGGGGGGCTGGGCAGATTATATTTTTATTGGGGGTCCCCCCCCCTTTTTTTTTTTTTTTGAAACCGCTGCTATGGGCCTATCATGTAATACCCTGTACATGTTGACCTGCTTAAGAAAAAACTTTACAGTTACGCGGTTATGACATGTACAAGATTTGAAATAAATATACATTTAGTCTCAAGTCATTTTGCACCCGGTCCATTAAATTTATTAGTCATTTGAGACACATCATTTAAGGAGCGCCTTTTTTTTTTTTTTTTTTTTGGTCTTATTTCAAATTTTACTTTAATAATAATAATTCTCCAAAATAAATAGGAACTGTAATTGAACTGTGAAAATTTTCTACGCACATTGAAATTTGACAGAAATCGTTTTTTAACTTGATGAAAGAGACTTATCGCCGCGCGTGAAAATTGTCCTCAAAGAAGCTTCAATTGCATTTAAATTCAGGGTATACAAATTTGGCAAAATGTTTTTAGAATTAAAATGAAATAAAAATTGAATCTTAATACCGGGGTAAGTCCCTCATCCCGTTTGTTTCTGTGTTTTTTAATAACTTAAAGGCTACTTTTTTAAAAACATATATGTGTAATTAATCCAGTTACCTACATCAAAAGGATAATCTGGGGCATTTTTACCATTCAAGATAGACAGACAGATAGGCAGACGTAAATCACGATTCAAATAGTCAGCAATTAAGTAAAATTCTATAAAAATTGATAACTTGTTTTCACAGATCCTATTTAAATTGATTTCATTATGTGTTTATTATTAGATATTATACTGTATACGTACTTCTATGTAGTATTAGATATTTCACTACATCTTATAGCGTAAATTAGAGTTACAGATGTACAATACAACGTTTTATTTGGGTTGTCAAATTAATTTGAAAAAAGGGGGGGGGGACTGTAAGGGATATAGGGGAGGGTGGTCAAAGGTACTGCTTAAATTATGAATATGTTTTCAGGTTTCATACTGACAGACCAAGAAATGTAATTCGAAAACGTTAATTCAAATTACATATACATGTATCTCTACATTGTATGTTTTATAGAGAGAGGGAAGAGGTCTGGGGTGGCGGGAGCGGTCATAATACATATTTGGAATTAGCATTATAAATATTTTAGAGAGGAATGTGTCAATACCACGTTTTTATATTAATTAAAAATATCTTTCAGTCAAAAAACATTTTTTTCAAAGTATAAATGCTTTTTATGTAGAATCGTCCAGTTTTTGGTATTTATTTACATGATCTTGAGCTTTGAGCTTGAAAAATCAAAGCACTTTACTCCTGAACTTAGCGGTGAATCAGTTCCGACTCTTACGGCCGACTACCGGTCTTTGTCATTGAGAATGACCATATCTGAAACAATAGCGGAAATAGTTTCTCTCTCCCATCGCCAACTCATTATCGTCACAATTCAATTGTCATATACGGTGAGTTACATACAGAAATTTAAAATAGACAGTATTTGAAAACTCTCATAATCTATCAGATTCAGTTAGATAAGATGGACATGCTTTTTTAAATAAGGTAAGTGAATTAAGTTTTATTCTGTTTGAAATTGATGTTGCCATGATTATAAATAATTGTTTTTGTATGTGTGAAGATGATAGGCTTAGATATATGTTCTTCTTTAAATAGTTGTTGATGAAGTTACCAAATAAATGACATTCTTTGCAAAATTCTTTGCATATTATTACATGTATAATGAAACAATTTATTGAAATTGATTAGAGAGCACAGTCGGAAAGTGCTGGGGAGGGTTGGGGGGTGTACTCCATTAATCATATACATGTAAGTTATTATTATTTATGTAGACATATGGAGGGGTAATAGGAAATACCTCTAATTGTCTGCATAACGAATTTATCCTGTCAAAGAATTTTAATAAAGTTCATTTTCTCTGAGTTAAGCAAACCGTTCCGTAACAATTGTTTACATTGTGACGTCGTTTGATGCTTACATGTATGTGACATCATGCAGTTTTTAGGTTCCATGCATGTTCAAATGAAAACAACATATTGAATATGATCTGGACAGTATTGCACGTGGAGGGGTTATATTGATGTGATATGTGGCGATCAGATCACGTGGAGGGGGCATATTAACAATATGATGTCGGTAGGAAGCACACTATGGTTTATAGAGTATTCATGTCGACCAATAAAATTTCAAGATTTTTATCAGAGGAAGGATAAATAATCATATCAGGATGGTTTGATAAGAATTTCAAAAGTAACTGCTATACAACCATCGAAGTTGGTTTACACGTATAGGTACGGTAATTGGATTTATTAATATGATAATGCACAAAGATCAAAATATAACTGTTGAACCAATGCTTTGAAATATTTAGAAAAAATGTTTAAATAATCAAAATGAAAAAGAAAATGAAAAAAAATCGCCATATCAGATCAGTTTTTTCCTTATTAAGAGCTCGATATACACTTGTAACACTGGAAAAATTCTAATTGAGCTTAACTGTGAGTCCATAATTTGCTAATTATGATAACACCTTGAAAGATTAAAGTCACAAATATGATCATGAGGCATTCACCATTGGGTATTTAAAGAATCATGTTAGAAAAACAAATACATGTAAAGTTTAAAAGAGTTTTTAAAACAGTATTCATGACTGTGTTTTGTTTTTAGAGTATAAACATGCCCGCCTGTTCATTGAGAGTGGTCTTTAGATATGATTGTGTTTTGTTTTTAAAGTGTAAACATGGCTGCCTGTTCAATAAGAGTGGTCTTTATATATGATTGTGTTTTGTTTTTAGAGTATAAACATGGCCGCCTGTTCAGTAATTAAGAGTAGCCTTTATATATGATTGTGTTTTGATTTCTAGGGTTTCAACATGGCCCCATGTTCAATGAGAGTGGTCTTTAGATATGATTGTGTTTTGATTTCTAGGGTTTCAACATGGCCCCCTGTTCAATGAGAGTGGTCATTATATATGATTGTGGTTTGTTTCTAGAGTATCAACATGGCCGCCTGTTCAATGAGAGTGGTCTTCATATATGATTGTGTTTTGTTTCTAGAGTATCAACATGGCCGCCTGTTCAATGAGAGTGGTCTTTATATATGATTGTGTTTTGTTTCTAGAGTATCAACATGGCCGCCTGTTCAATGAGAGTAGTCTTTATATATGATTGTGTTTTGTTTCTAGAGTATCAACATGGCCGCCTGTTCAATGAGACTGGTCTTTATATGTGGGATTATCGGAATCCTTTCCGCCCTGGAGGGTGACAATATCTGTACACGCTCTGTAGCGTACGTATAAATGATCATACACTCATGCACTTAGTATCAACTGTGAACTTACGCCACCTTTTTTCGGTAAAAGATTTTTGCAGTTTATTTAATGATATAAAAAAGTTATTGAAAGGCTGTTTTCCCACCTCCTTCTCAGGAAATTGGACAAAATAAGCTTATCGAGTAATGGGTAGTTTCCCTTTTTATGCTTTCAAAACTTTTATTTTTGTCAATAATTATTTTATCCCCCACCCCCCACACACACACACACACAAACTTACACACTTAAAAAAAAATTGTGCCTACAACCATATACTTCATACTTTTCACATATACCGAAAGTCTCAAACTATATAATGATTACAACTTGAAATTCAAAAAAATGTATTGAATGTTCATTCATATTTTTGGAATGTAAAAAAAATTGAATATCTACTTTGTTAATTTCAGTCAAAAGGTTTCCTACATAGAGACAAGAAGGGTGTCTTCAAGGAAATGCAGCACTCCTAACGATTGTAGAACGTAAGTGTTAGATAAAGTACACCTCTAACGATTGTAAACGTAAGTGTTAGATAAAGTACACCTCTAACGATTGTAAACGTAAGTGTTAGATAAAGTACACCTCTAACGCTTGTAAACGTAAGTGTTAGATAAAGTACACCTCTAATGTTTGTAAACGTAAGTGTTAGATAAAGTACACCTCTAACGATTGTAAAACATAAGTGTTGGATAAAGTACACCTCTAACGATTGTAAACGTAAGTGTTAGATAAAGTACACCTCTAACGATTGTAGAACGTAATTAAAGTGTTATATAAAGTACACCTCTAACGATTGTAAGACGTACGTGTAATGATAAAATACACCTCTAACGATTGTAAGACGTACGTGTAATGATAAAATACACCTCTAACGATTGTAAAACGTAAGTGTTGGATAAAGTACACCTCTAAGGATTGTGAAAAAGTAAGTGTAATGATAAAATACACCTCTAGTGATTGTAAGAATTAAGTATTAGATAAAGCTTGTACACCTCAAACGATTGTTAAACGTACGTTTAATGATAAAATACACATCTAACGATTCTAAGACTTAAGAGTTATATAAATTGCACCTCTAACGATTGTAAAACGAAAGTGTAAGATATACTACACCTCTAACAATTGTAAGACGTAAGTGTAATGACAAAATACACCTCTAACGATTGAAAGATTTAAGTGTTAGATAAAGTACACCTCTAACGATTGTAAAACGTAAGTGTAATGATAAAATACACCTCTAATGATTGTAAGACTTAAGTATTAAATAACGTGCACCTTTAATGAATGTAAAACGAAATTGTAAGGTAAAAAAAAACACCTTTAAGGATTGTAAGACGTAAGTGTTAAATAAAGTACACCTCTAACGATTGTAAAACGAAAGTGTAAGATATACTACACCTCTAACGATTCTAAGACGTAAGTGTAATGATAAAATACACCTCTCATGATTGTAAAACTTAAGTGTTAGAAAAAGTATACCTCTAACGATTATAAAGCGTAAATGTAATGATAAAATACACCTCTAACGATTGTAAGACGAAAGTGTTATGATAAAATACACTTCTAACGATTGTTAAAAACGTAAGTGTAATGACAAAATACACCTCTTATGATTGTAAGACTTAAGTGTTAGAAAAAGTACACCTTTTACGATTGTAAAACGTAACTGTAATGATACAATACACCTTTAGCGAGTGTAAAACGTAAACGTAATGATAAAATACGCCTCTAACGATTGTAAAAACGTAAGTGTTATGATAAAATACACCTCTTACGATTGTAAAACGTAAGTGTAATGATGAGATACACCTCTAATGATTGTAAAACTTCAGTGTTAGGAAAAAAGTACACCTCTAACGATTGTAAAACGTAAATGTAATGATAAAATACACCTCTAACGATTGTAAAAACGTGTTATGATAAAATACACCTCTAACGATTTAAAACGTACCTGTAATGATAAAATACATCTCTAATGATAGTAAGACTTAAATGTTAGATAAAGTACACCTCTAACGATTGTAAGACGAAAGTGTTATGATAAAATACACCTCTAACGATTGTAAAAACGTAAGAGTTATATGATAAAATACACCTCTAATGATTGTAAGACTTAAGTGTTAGATAAAGTCCACCTCTAACGATTGTAAGACGAAAGTGTTAAATACATCGCTAACAATTGTAAGAAGTGTAGGATAACGTACAGTGCTAACGATTGTAAAACGTATTAGATGACGTACATCTGTAACGATTGTAAGACGTATTAGATAACGTACATCTGTAACACTTGTAAGACGTATTAGATAATGTATATCTGTAACGATTGTAAGACGTATTAGATAACGTACATCTGTAACGATTGTAAGACGTAGTAGATAACGTACATCTGTAACGATTGTAAGACGTATTAGATAACGTATATCTGTAATGATTGTAAGACGTACAGGTAAGTGTTAAATAAAATTCCCTTCTAACAATTGTAAGACGTTAGTTACATGTAGAAATATTAAATTTTACATATACATCCATATGGTCAATATATGTACTCACATACAATAAGCAATCGAATGTCACATAGAGAAAATCAAAGTACACATCACATCAAGGTAAATACTACCAAAGGAAAGAACCATTCCTGTTATGCACTGATGTGCCCCGTCTTGCCATACACCAATTGTCCAATATCAAACAAAATTCTATTCACATATCTTATAACGTGTGTGAACCAGATATTAACTCATTGATCGATAAACAATCTAAGTATTTATTTCTAAATTTGTTCAGAACTTAGCAAGATTAAACATAACATTATTTGATTACAACTGCGATAGCTTTGTTTTTTAGTGTTTATTCCCTGCAGAAAGTCCTCAAGTTTCGGATTACGAACGCCGTACAGAGATTTTGCTGCCCGGGCTTTATACAGGAAGGGAACCGCTGTGTACTGAGTAAGTTCTCACTGTCTCTCTCAAACTACCAAGTGTATTGAAAGAGTTAAATTTTTTCATTCCTTGTTCCAAGCATTATGGATAGTTATGCCTCCGTAATCGAAGATACGGAGGTCTATAGTTTTTATATGACCGTCAGTCTTTCTGGTTTTTCTATTAATCTGTTTGTCTGTTAATCTTTTGTCTGTTAATCTGTTTGTTTGTTTCTCCACAAAAACTTAAAATTTGATTATAACATTTGAATCACTGGTACAAGGCTCTCAAAGTTCACATGTGTATTCCTTTATTTTCTTTAGGTACTAATATATTTGACATTTTAATCGTGACTTCGGAGTTTCACCCAATTTTGCAAGAATAAAAGTCAATTGAAACTTTAACTTTTGAACGGTTGGTGCTAGGTAGGGCTTTACATTTCACGTTTGTATTCCTTATGACATTAACACAAACATTGTTTTAAACATTTGACCTTGATCCTGAATTTGATCTACTTTTGAAAAATTTTAACCTTGGCCACAACCATTTAAATGTTTAATTAATGCACACACTGCAGACTTTTATACAAGGAATACAATGCTATACATGTAAAGATATCATATGTGTGCATACCAGCATTCTTGTTGCAATGACTTTGACTTTGGTGCATAACATACTTTTGAAAAACTTTAACCTTTTCTTTTGGCACCAATATTTTTGACCTCATGACCGTTACCTTGGAGTAACTAATGAAAAACTCCAATCTTTGCCATGTTTCTTGAATGGTTGATGCTAGGCCTTTCATAATTCACATGTGTAATCCTTGGGAGAAGATCTTTCTGTACGTATAAAACTATTGCAACTTTTAACTTTGACCTTGGACTTCAGCTAAAATTTGAAAAAAAAAAAAATGGCCTTGCGCTGCCATTCGAGAGCATCAGTGTTTTACATACACAACTTGTCGTACTTGAATTACACCTAGGAAAGCTTATAATTAAGCGTTAATTCTTTCCCTGTTTAATACAAAGTGAAGTGCATCTATCTTATTTTTATTGAACTTAAGCATTTATCACTGCACTTCTTTTGGTTAGAACATATTTTATTGTAACTTATGATCATAAAAGTGTTGATCATTAAGTTCTAAAAACTTATTTCGACCTCCCTCTAAATTATTTTGGAGTATAACCTGAAAAGTACACGTAAAATGTTATTCTTTCTCGAAACATTTTCATAAAAAAAATAAACTAACGAAAAGTATGTGTTTAAAATTTAAATAAAACATTTCAGTCACAACACCAGCGCCGTCAACAACATTAGCTCCCACTACAACTCAAACATCAACCACAACAAACCCAGATGACGTAATAGACCCTAATCCTATAGAGGGCGCTTTAGAGGAAGCTGACGGAAATGGCGGCGCTTTATCTGAGGGAGCAGTCATTGGAGTGGTGCTAGCTGTTATTTTTGTCATGGCCGCCGCGCTTGTCGGTCTCATGCTCAAAATACGCAAAAACAAGTACGAATTCTGCTAATTGATTAGAAGGACTAAATCAAAATTTCAATTGAAAAAAAAAAAAAAATGAAACGGATGATTTCAATCACGGGAAATAAAATATTTTTAGTATTTTTTAGAAAAAATAGAACGGATGAGTTCAGTCAAGGGGCATAAAATATTTTTAGTATTTTTAAGACAAACGGGATAATAATGATAATTCTCAACTAATTATATAGTTTATAGCACTACTTACAACATCTTTAAACATTTTTGTTGTTTAATGTCTCGCTCTTAATAAGAAAGTATTTTTAAAAAAACGATTTATATAGCTAGACAATAAGTGTGAAGTCAATTTCTTTAAAACATTACTTTGATGATTAAATATTGAATTTTGTAATAGGAAACAGGACAAGGAGGCAATAATCCAATCAGAAATGTACCGTGGACAGTCCATCCACGAGAACGGTTTGGATCCCGACCAGAACTCGGGAGGAGCCTTTGAAAACGACCTCTATAATCTTACAAACAACCCGCCTAAAGGTATGTTAAATTATTCTCTTTTAATAAGCAAGAATCGCGTATGGTTTTTCACTTCAAGTCATTTTGCGTCATGATAATATTCAATTTTAAATATTTAAAAAATAAGTAAGAAACATGCAAACATATTCAATGATAATGCAGATAATGAGAAATCCCCCCTGGGTCTTTCTTTGACAAAAATCAACCATTTCTATGTTCAACCATACGTATGCAAAATAACAAACAATATTACTTCAATATTAATTTTGTTTCAAATCACGTGAGTCCTCTTTGATGAATAAAATCACCACATTTAAGGTAAATAAAAAGAATTCAGCACAGAGCTTTTCAAATATTCGCTTCGTTTCAGGAGATACATCAACACCGGATATGTACGATCAACTTCATCTGTATGGGAACGCTGCTGACGAGGCAAGCCACGATTACGAACGCCCCGTCAGGTCAAAAACGATTGGGGGCGGTGCGGGGGAGTACTACAGCAAAGCAATGCTACCTAATCCTAGTTTTAAGTCAGAGGGACATCAGACAGTCAAGTATCAAAATAAAGGCGACGTATCGGGAAAAGTGAGGGTGTTCGAAAGGCTTGCGTCAAATCAATCAGATGATCAAACTTTTGGAAACAAAATGCTTTATTCCGATGTCAGATACTGAATTAAAAATATACATTTATGCTTCGTCTTTATTTGACTTGCATTTTTTGTAGTATATGTGCATAGGACAGGTATGAGATATACTAATCTGTATTTAACTTTTCAATGGGCTCAAGCGGGTGTGAGGAGTGGAAAAGGGTTTTCCAGTCCTCCTTGGCATCTGATCCAATCTCTGAAGTTCTCAGGTCCCGGGAATAATGAAACATCTTAAGCTTAAGTCAAATTTTGTATGTTTTGCTGAAATGTTGTAAAAATCAAACAAAAATAATTTTTTTAATTACATTTACATATCATATATATATATATATATATATATATATATATATATATATATATATATATATATATATATATATATATATTAAATATTCTATGCATCACCTAAGTGCTATTACCCAAAAATTAATAGAATAGAGGTGACAATTGATTAACAACTCACAGCTGATTGAAAAATTCACTTGTACGTGTCTATCTGTTTCATGATATGTGTGTGTGTTGGTGGTGGTGGTGGGGGGGGGGGGGGGGGGGGTTACATGTCTATTCCTAAAATTCATATAAAGCCTCTGTCTCAAAGGCCAAGGCTACAGAATATTTTTACTACGCTGTAGACACGACAATTTAAGCCTCAATTGCCACTAAGTCTCTAACTTTCAGTGGAAAGTAAGTGACAAAAACAGTTCAGTCAAGAGGGACAAAATGTCAGTAATCACATTTAAATTACCGTTACTTGATAACAACTGAGTGGACACAATGTGACCTTGAAGTCTCCAGCCTACCTTTCACATAAAAGAGGCCAGCAAAAATTAAGGGTCAAATGATCAAAGACAAAACTTTAAAAGGAATAAATAATGAAATTTTAGATTCATTTTCTAAGAGTACATGTAACAGTTGACCTTTCAGTGAATTTATCCGCAGGGGCAAATCAAAGAAGCGATTTCGGGGTCAGTAGGTCAAAGTTCAATGACTGACAAGTGTAATAAACTAAAAATGTTGACAAAAATTGAATTCTGAGATTTTTTTTCCCCTCAGATCATCAGACGATTGATCTTATTTTGTGCACACAAAATAAAATGTGAATTAAAATAAAAAAACGTTAAGTTTATTCATTTTTTTCTTCTTTTTAAGATAAAATTTTGCAAATCAGTCTATTTTGTTCAGGGGCAACTCTACACATTCATAAAAAGATGTGGATTCTCAAAAATTAAAGCAAACTGAACTTTTGAGAAGGCTTTTAATAAACATGTATAAAACAATGAGACAATATTACATCTAGCCATGAAAACAAGTCTATAGAGACTTTACAACTGGTACAATGTAACAACAAAAATATTTAATAATCATCATATAAAACAAAAGATGTTACAAGACAATTTGGCATAGAATACAAGCACTCTAGTTGATGCACATAACTACAACTGTACCAAGTGTACAAAATATAGCAAGTACCATGAAAAACTATCAACCAACACTGTACAAGTACATCATAATCAACAATCACAAAACAGTCAACAAACAAAGGCATGGGGTGTTTAATATTCATTGTACAATATATAATTTATAACACATCTGAAATATCAATTATAGTAAGCTTCTAAAAATATGTTGTGATCAGAAAACTTTTTTGTTATTGTTTTTCATCTCAGAACTTTTCTAGTTGAAATATCACAGCATTAGAAATAACAATCAATAGTTGTGTTACAATAGCAATAACTAGACACAATTTTAGCAAACAATCTTAAAATTTTGTAAGCCAAAACTGTGTGTGTCAAAACAGGAATCACTGGTACACTTAATAAATTTAGAAGGGCATCTGTGAAAGCAAAGAAATAAATTTGAAAGACATCTTATAAATGCAAGAAACTATGCATTCCTCAATAAGTTAAAATACTGAAAATAGTCAAAAGGATGAAGTAAAAGCTAAATGTCAATTTTTTTTTATGTCATTTTCTTCTATATTCCTTTCCTTATTTACCTTTCCAATCTTTCAGATATTGTCTTGAAATAAATGTGAACAAACAACAGTTTGCTTCAAGGAATCTTTAGTAGAAATAGAAAAAAATATATTCTTTTTCTTTTACAGTGACAAATTTGGGGGAAAGTACTGTTTCGGGAATAGTGTATGGACAAATATATATAATGGATTAAACAATGATGTCTTTTAAATACATTAATGTCCCATCAAAACAAATTAACATTATGAACTTGGAATGAGTAGCAATAGGCTGTTTATGATGATTATATTGGGACATATATATATGCACCAGAACAGGCTAATTCATGAAGCCATGAATTTACCATCCTAATGAAACACAATTGGCCTCTTAAAATCTTAATATTCAAAAAGTTTCAGTTAATGGATAATTTTCACCGGGTAGGTCTACTGATCAACCTTTAACAATTCTAACCTTTAAAGTGACAAGTGAATAGCTGATATTTCTATGTACATACATGTAACAAATGTCCAATAACTATCAAAAAAAAATGTTATGGAATGTCAGATTTGTGTTACCATGGATACGACATCACAGTTCTTCGTTAACATCAGAGTTCTTCATCTAATTTCTAAAGGCTTTAAAACTCTAAAAGGTATGGAATTTACAAATCTTAAAAAGTATGTCGAAGTTATTGACCGTTTGTAAATCATTATCAACCATTAAGGAATATTTTGTAATTACAAGTATATTTTCATGACAAGCAAACAAATATGACACTCATTACCTCAATAAAAGTGTTTAAGTAATACCTAGCAATAGAACAGGCTGATTAATTAAATTCTGAAAATTGCTAAATATTATAGCACACTCAATAGAAAACCACTAGGTATCATATACTAACAGTCAACAGGGCTTCAACCTAAGGTACACAGTATAAGGCAAGCTGTTAAATATCTACATATCTGAAAAACATGGTTATCTACAAATGTTTTATATATCTGCACATACATATTGAAAACAAGAACGTTTCTTAGTACATTAAATGAGCAATTCATATGTACACTTGCTCTATGCAAGATTTTTTATTTACAAAACCATTTTAATAAATAACTGTTGCAGTATCAAAAAAAATGCAATATTTGAAATCTCTAAGTGAATTAAAAATCTCAAGAATTCATAAAGATGAAAACTTGAGTATATGTAAAGATGATTTACATAATGATCATGTCACTTCTTTAACAGTACAAAAACCCACCATAATTTTCTTTTTTATACAAGAGGCTCTGTCTTTCACAGTCACCTGCAAGTTTCTTGATCCCTGATGAGACATGGGTTTTACAAATTCGGATGAGCCTCATAGCTAAATGTCATTATCTTACAGTTTGCTTAGCTGAATTTTAAGAATGGAGAATTTTTCAAATGTAAAATATTCTAATATATGATCAACTCAGCCTTCTCTGGAGTCATTTGCCTGAGCCTTGAACCTAGATATTTATAATTTACAATTTTGATAGAGGGTTTTTCATCAAGAAGGTATAAACTAAACTAAGCTGCTTCTAGGGGCCTGAGACCTGAATCCATTGGATATGAATACCACAATCTTTTTACATAGCAAATTGCTCATTATAAGCAAACAAACAATTTTCCTGCTACAAATTAAGATTTCAAAGGTACAATGAACTTTCAGTTTGACCAACATAGTCCTTTGCAAGGTCCTAAACCCTCAAGATTTTTTCATCCTCTGCTAAGAGAGATACATGTAACAAACAAGAAACAGCAAAAGTTGTTAATAGAGGTGATTTTAAAAAAGATATCTCACACATTTTTATATGTATGTCTTGTAAAACCCAACAATATAGAAATATCAAAGCAAGACTTTTAAACACATTTACAGTGTATTTTGTTTGAAAACATGCAGGTAAAAATTCACATAAATTCACGATCTGATGTACAATACCAGACACGAGGCCTACTCAAATCCTGAACCAGTCAAATACCAGTTTTCTAATGCATGGCAATCTAGCAAGAATTAAACTTTAACCTAAAATTAATATAAAATATAACAGTAATTATAAATGTTCTTTCACCAACAACCTTTGCTCTGATAAACCTCAGCATTCATCACTATATTGTTTGTGATTAGTTCACGTCAACCTTCACAGATACTGGCTCACGTGTTCATTTTTTTCTTCTGTATTTTTCATATGAAAATTCTGACATTATTTGTTCTGTTCCCTTTTGATATCTCCATTTTCACCAGGGTTTCTCAACACCGTGGAAGGAGCACTGTTTGCAAATGTAATCAGTGGACTACTGTGACTCCTGTGAACCGGGGCAAATGGCATGTTCCTGGATCTCGGTAACCGGTCATAGAGGGGCACCTGGCTAAGCATTGGGACGTTGTAAATAGAAGTGGGCTTAAACTCGGATGTCTGCTGACATTTTGGAATCAAAGGAGGAATGGTACTCATGGCTGGCTGCTTTCTGGGGGGCATTTCATATTCCTCCCTAGGTATCCCAGCATGCAAGTCTGTAAGACTTCTCTTCTTTACTGGCTTGTGTTTATCTTGCAGTATTTTAGAGCAGTCTACCTTCTCAGACACGGCTGCAGCTGAAGCGTTGGCTGTTTTGCTGGTGCCTTCTTTGTTGCTCAGAATGGACAAAACAGCCACATCTTTCTCATGCTGGGAATAAAAGATTCGGGATTTCAATGGCTCAGGAATGACTGAAGGTGAGTCTTTGTTGTGTACAAGAACCTGGACATTGTCAGAAACTGCAGACAGAAGGACGGAATTTTCACTGGGTACTGTGATCTTCAGAGGATCTATGCTAGATGTGGAGCAGTATGTGTTGTTCACACACTCAAAATCCACCTGCTTAACAGCTACCCCTAGATCTTCTGCTCGATCCTCCATCAGTTTTTCTCTACTGTCCTGGTGGGAAAGCCTGGACAGGGGATCAATATTTTTAAGAACCATGGGAGATGGGGATCCAGACTTGTTCTTTAGAGGAGGAGTGGGGGAGTATTCTCTCAGTCTGTCCCCATTTACAAGACCCAGGTCTATTTTTGGTTTGATGACTTCACTGTTGTTTTGGTCCACTGGGCTACACATAACCATCAGACCTACAGAATAAACAATACAGTTCTCAACGCAAATTTTGTGTCCATGTGAGCAAAAATTCACACTGTATTCTTTCATATTTCCTTAAACATTACGAGTTTGAAACAATCCATCACATAAATACTCTAGTCTCTAGTTTGCAGATGGGAGTGACTTGTTGGCAAGTTGATACTTTCTTTTTTTTGAAAAAACTCTGAATGGTGCTATTTTTACATTTTCTTTCTAATTATGTATCACAGTTCATTCTTTTTTGATAGGTTCATTCTTTTATGATAGGTATGCTAACCAGAAGTCTCTGATGAGACTGTAGCTGTATTGGTTTTTTACTTAGCGAAGGTAGGGAAAAGTAAAATTTGGACTTGAAACTATGGCAGCAGCAATTAATAGAATAATGATCCTTGGTTTTGTCTCTTTTGAGTCGAGTTTAATTGCAATTGGGCAAAAACTGTAGTAGAAGCAGTCTTTTAAAGGATTTTCACCGAAAATTCTACTTTTTGTAACCATGACAATCCCACTCACCAAAATCAAAAATGATAAGCAGAATTACATATTTTAGTGTAGTCTACTTATACTGACATCAGACTAAAACTGAGGCAGGAGAAGCATTTTGAAAGAATTTCACAAATATGTCTATTTTTAATAAACAAGGCAACACTGTTCATCCAAATTAAAAACTGATGTATAGAATTATGTATCTATAGAGAGAACTATGTGTCTTAGAGTAGTATACTTGTGTACCAAGTTATATTAAAATTGGACCAAAACTGTAGGAGGAGTAGCAGTTTGTAAAAGCGTTTACAAACAGAGAAACTGACAAATGGTGGAAACCTTACTATTACATAGGCTCTTCTGGTCTCTGACCAGCAGAGCTAAAAATAAGCCTTACCCCCTCCGTCATACTCCACCCTAAAGGTCTTCAGCCATTCCACAAAAGTACGGATATCCCTCACCTCCAGGCCGTGAACAACATCCAGGACTTTCATTTTAGCCTGGCGTAGTCCTGAAAACAAAGATACAGTTGATCTCAAACACTGATATTCTTAATACCATGGATATACAGATGTGTGATGGAAAGTTTTACCTTGGTTTATTATAGATTATTTTGTTTATGAGCTTTTATTTACTTGATTAAGTTTTTTAAGCTCTTGCATTCAGTTTAATATATTCAGTGATTCTGTCTTCTAATGATAAGTTAAATACAAGTACAGGGTAAATTGCTGAATTTTAATTTTTATGTTCATGCTCATGCATGACTAGGAAGAACAGCTACTGGTAGTTCGTCAACAACGTCCAATATTCCACACTCCATACCATTTTCACAGGTCAAACAATGACCTCTACAATATTTTTTGCTTCATCATACTTTTTACTTGTTTAAAATTGCCCTTTAACACAATGAACAACATCCAATACATGTATATACATGAAAGAAAAGTCTCACCATCTTTAGCCTCATCAAGGTCATCTGTCTGGCCATCCTTGAAGTCCGAGCACACTGACCCCTCCCCAATCCCTGAGTCGGTCCTTGAGACCTGTCTCCGCTGCTGAAGGGGCGGGGAGTTCCTGCTCCCCTCCATCTGCGACTTTCTGGCCGCCTCCAGGCAGATGTTTTCTATGACCGGTACGTATGTACTCTTGATGGCATGGTTTGTGTAGTTCTCGAACAACCCTGCCATCTGAAAAGAGAAAAAAATTAGATCTTATACTAGTACATTAACTAAACATAACATCACACAAATTACCCTAGGGAAGTTGACGAGTAAGACATTGGTAAATTGTTCTTAAAAACTGTTTGTTTGTTGAGATGGAGATAAATTAATTTCACGACAGGACTTTGACAAAATAAGGACATAGAGTAAAATACGCTTATGAGGCATTAATTGCCAGGGATGGATGATTTTGCTTCGTTATAAACATAATTCGTTATATCCGTTGAGTTTACAATATATTTTTAAGCCATGGGGAATGAAAATCACTTGGCTGTAAGCATCAATTCATTATAAGCGTGTTTGCTGTAAGCATGTTTTACTGTATAAATACATGCATGTTTAGTCTTTGATTATCTTAGTTTTAACAATAACTACTTCAGAAACCTTTTTTTTCCGTTATATATACCAATGCACTATTCCCTATATATTTCTCATATGGATGTACAATTAAAATGGGTGATGCATACGGTAATTTTTGTGTGAATTGATGACGTATTGAAATATCATAGGTTTCTGCTACAAAATGCATTCAATTTGACAATAATCATGATAATGAGTTTCATTATAGATTAACTTATTTTAATTTTTTTTCTCCACAGCTTTAACATGTTCATGATGTTTAAACAAGCTTTAATTAAACCAATCTTAAATTATTAATGACAGTTTACATAGCAGATTTTCACACGTTTATTTTAAATTACAGCTTTATGCGATAAGACACATACTTTTACTAGTAAATGTTAATTTCCATTACTCTGGTCTTTTATCACGTTTATTGGTTACTTGTAATGACTAATCCTTGGTGAGGCTTATAATGTGTTAGAAAGTTTCATAAATTATGTTTTTTTTTTTCTTGAATGCTTTAACAGTTTGGTTCGAGGGTTTGAGAAAACCCATTTTGCCCGAGAACACAGTCGATAAATGTTTTAATATACCTTTTATTCATTTATTTTATTTAATTTCTTTGGACATACTTATATGTCAAACACCAATGAATGCAAATGATATTTAGTTGACCCCGCCCATTGTGTGACATAAGCAGTCCAACATCTCATCGACAGGTCCAATATCTCACTCCTCCGTCAAACATCAATTTTTTTTAATGACCACTCAGTAAAACATTGGAAATGTTAGACTTTTATTAGTATTGATTTAAATAGGAACAAATTTTTAAAGGTATAACAAAAAAAAATATGTTAAACCCGATAAAAAAAGTTCCAAACTGCATTTGTTTTGTTTGGTTGTTATCTTCTTTTTTATTCTCCATGTTTAATAGTTCAATAATTTAAACTCATTAGATCAATGGATGATTATGCTAAAACTTTAATTTTTAGACAGGTCATGTGACCCCGTCTATTAGTTTCCTGTCAGTTGAGGCCTCAAAGTGGAATCGATGGGGAGAACACATGGATTAAATCTATGCTAAATGAAAGAGTGCAGAAATTGATTTGATTACAATACAAACAAGCTGGATCAAACTAAAGAGAGTGATATGAAGATTTTCTTACTCAAATCAAAGAGTGCTTTAAAAATTTACGTGAAAAACAATATACTGAACCACTCTAATGTACAAACTACTTGGCTGTATAATACAAGACTGCGTACGCGCGTGCATTATCGATTGTTTACTTCCGGAAATGTCTTATTAATTCAGACCTGGTGAAATTCGGACAATTCAACAAGGTTTCTTGACTAGTGATTACTGATTAATCTATCACACTGTAAACGAAAAACATGAAGACATATATTTCACAGTCATTTTTTTTGTTTTTTGTTTTATTTTATGTTAATATTAAATTATAAAAAGAAATTTTAAGTTGGTATCAAAGCCCTACAAAATAATTTTCAATGTGCAGTAATGAAATTTGTAAAATAATGAAGTTTATAATTTGACCCCATCTTCATTACTTTGATTTTATTTTGCAATACTGGGACTTCCACTTCTACAATAAAAATGTTGCAATATATGTAATCTTTCATTGGAATGTTGCAATATTCATCACAGGTTCTTATTTCTACATCTACTTAATTTATGAACAAAGTCCCTATATATATATCTGTATGTATCACACTACTAGTTTTTTACCTATTGAATCTTCTTTGTTCATTGATTTTGCAATATTTAAACCTTCACTGGAAGATTCACAGACAAATATATAATATTTTGCAATTCTGTTTGGTGCAAGTGTAAGCATTATTCTATGTTTAAATGCCTCGTGTTTACTAGTAAGTACTTCTGTCCTCAGAATCAATGAACAATTCAGAGACGCATATAACTAAATTAAACAACAATACATTCCTAATTCGTATGTCATAATTAAGTACAGCTCAGTTGTATTTAGATATTACTGGCATTCTCAGAGTATTGCATATTAAGCAATACTAAGTCCCCAACAAGAGTCAATAGGCCATCATTAAAATATTTTTGTTTGACCTACTCCGATCCAAATTTTTTAAGGTGGGTAGGTAGGTACATCTAGGTACCGGGATATTGTTTTTAATTACTTAAATTAATTTAAAATATCTATCACATTGATAATTGTCAAAAAAATTACAGACTTAGAAAGTTATTGATGTTTTCATTGTCCCCTACCAGCTAGACAGATTTAATATTTATTGATATAATTCAAATTTTCAATCTTAAAAGCGTGTGCTTGATGTGCCTCTCATTTCACATAAAATGGGTCAAATTTTATCATGATGACGTCATGTCGACAAGTGCATTGCGATCAGTGACTTGTTTATATCTTGCTATGTGGGATTTAACTAGCGATATAAATGAATGCAGTGGTAAGTTTGAATGTAGTTCATTACTCTTACACAGTTTAAAATCACATTATTTCATTTTCTGTTATTGTGAGGAACTGCTATTTTTGTGTGAGCTAGGTCACAGTAAACATATCTCGTATTTAAATTAGCCCCTAGCTGTCCCCTTTATGCAGCCTTAACGGAGCAGCATAGACTCAGAACCAGAAACTCATTACCAGAAAGAATCTGGAATAAAGAGGGAAATCTATTTGGACAGATAAATGATGGACAGAGTGCAAAACTATAGTCATGTATTCATGGTATGGTAAGGCATTACTACTTATCATGCTTATTAGTCCTGAAGATAAGCAGGACATGACTAACAGACACTAATTACAATGCACAGCCAAAAACTTCCAAAAATTAGGCAAAGGTGACCTATTTCTGAAATGCAACACACCATCACCACCACAACTACAAGCATCAGCTGACAATGTTCAATGACACTAGTCCTCACAGAATGAAAAACTCTGACCAGGTCAGAAAAAAGCTGACAGAGAGAAAATTAAAATACAAGCAGACTGACATATAGATGGGAAAGCCTTACCATAATTTTCACTCTGTCAAAGGTCAGGTGTGGAGAAACGAACTACACTATAATTCAATCCTGGGAGTGGTTGTTTTAAAAACATGTTACAGGAAAACAACATATATATTTGTGTTGCTTAATAGCTACTGAATAATGTATTATTTGATTAATTTATTTGTATTTAGGATAATTATTTTATTAAAAATTTGTTGAATATCCTTTAAGGCTTCTAAAATATTCACATATCCCGATTAACCAGACTCATATGGCTGCGACCTATCGTACAGTCTGTTTAAGTAAATTTTCACACGTGCTAGAGATGAATCATCTTTATTTATTTACATGTTCAAATTTGTCTGAGATAAAACTAAAAATAATAAAATAGCTTTATTTCTTCATGAAGCTATTGTTTCATCAATAGGCGTGATTTAAAAAAAATCACATGTGGGGCGAGAGGGAGAGAGAAGGGTGGTCCGGGTTGGACTTAGCTCATGAATTTACGGAATCATGTAAATATAAGGAATAACTGTCAGGTTTTGGGTTTTTATGATATGTGATAATTTTATGCATAAATGCCTTCCGCGTCTGAGCACATTATCACCCAAGCAAATTGCTTGATCATATCATAAAACCCCACTGCAAATACTTTAAGTATGGTTTCAAAAATTACTTCATATAAATTAGCTGGCTATATTAGATGTAAATTTACAAGTCTGGTCAGGGCTAGTGTTTTTATGGTCATGGCTAGTAAAAATTATGGGAGGTAGCCCAACTGGTCTAGTACTCAAAAAAGTTAATGTCAAACCCTGATTGTGGCCCCATCCTACCCCCAGGGGGTCTTAAATTAAACAAACATGAATATGCACTACCTGAGAATGCTTCCATATAAATACATGTGTGACCATCTTTGGCTCTGCCATTCTTGAGAAGATTTTTATAAAAAAATTCCTATATATATTCCTTTGTAAAACTTTCATCTCCTATTAAAGCCCTACCCCTCCCAGGGGTCATAATTTGAACACGAACATGAATCTATACTCATGAATCTACACTACCTGAAGATCCTCCATTATACATGACCATCTATGGCTTTGCTGTTCTTGAGAAGAGAATTAAAGATTTTAGTAAATATATTACTTTGTAAAACTTTGATCCCCCATTGTGGTCACACCCGATCCCCAGGGGCCATGATTTGAACAAACTTGAATCTAAACTATGTCACGAAGCTTTCATATATTAAGTTTCATCTTTTCTGGCCCAGTGGTTCTTAAGAAGAAGATTTTTTAATGACCCCACCATATTTTTCCCTTTTCTTGATTAACTCCCCTTAGAAGGGTCCACTGTCCTTCATTTGAACAAATCTAAATCCCCTTTAGCCAAGGATACTTTGCAACAAGTTTGAATGAAATTGGTCCTGTGGTTCTTGAGAAGAAGTTTAAAATATGAAAAGTTTACACAGGACGCACACCTGCATGACGATGGACGAAAACATATAGCAATAGGTGACCTAAAAATGTTTCAGTAAACAGTTTTCTTCTTCCAACTAAGTGTTACCAACTGGCCATTATCACATTATAACCCACAAATTTATGACCTTGACCTACCTGACAAGTACGGGTCATGATTTTGCTGATTGTGCTGTTTCCCAGTGGAGTGTTGTCGTACCAAACGTAGTCCTCAGAGACAAAGTTCCGCTTCGGCCTTTGCCAGAAAGCCTCTGTCATTGGGTGGAGATGTGTTAAGTACTGGAGGAATGAGGCCACGGGACATTTAGGATCACCTGGGGAAAAAAATTATGAATTTAAATTCAAATCTACAGTATATTTACAATGGATACATACAATTTTGACCATGCATGTTGCAGGTTTTCTATTCAATCTATTGCAGTTTTATTTTTAATGGAACTTCAAGGACAAAGTTGTAACAAGGGTTACACATATCTTAATGTATATCTGACATTTTTAAAACTAAATGTCTAGATCATTAATTTAAATTCGCTACATTGGTATTCTAAAGTTATAAATAAATTCAACTAATTACATAAAATTTCAATAATATATTTCTGTAAATGTTAGTCTGTATAAACATGATTAACGATGATGAGAAACATGTTTGAAAAAGACCCTGGCGAAGACTTCTACACATAAAGCCATGATCAAGACGATGTAAACAATGATATTAACACTCAAGTAGAATCCTCCAATGAGATGACTACATCAACAAGCGTCTGACATATAATCAAATGACCTCAATACAAAACAGCCAATAGCAGTGGAAACTCAAAAGTTAAATGACACAGACTTTTTTGCTACGTGTAATTTAAAAAGAGCTTAATATAGAGTCATGTTACAGTACTCATCTTAATATGGAATTTCCAGGAATACTATTAACACATTATTGTAATAATACAAAAATGTTTTCTCCACTTAGTTTATTATTGAGCTGAAATACAAGTTTACCTTGACCATGTTGACAAACACATTTTATACTTGAACAAATTAATAGGGACTGAGATTTTTTGTAATAAAATCATCAACATGCAAAAAATGTAATGAAATAGGAATATCCTAATTAAGGTTAGTTCCTGAATTTCCTGTGTAAATCTAATCCCTTCTTGTGTCACGGATGCACACTGACAACTTTGGTATAATGCATACTGCATATGAAAAAAAATCTGCATAAATTTGAAAATGCAATTTTAATAGAATTCCACTCAAATTTAAGCACACATGAACACTGGTTTTAAACATGTTAAAGGCAAGTGGGTGTATGGCATGTAAAGCACACATATTTACAATTTATTTATTAAAAATCCTATGTAGCCAGACTTTATTTCATACACAATTTATATTCTCATGTAACACATTTAAAAGTCTGGTTGACAAATATAGTATGCTGTTATATATCAAGTATATATTGAAGTGCACATTGGAATATTCAATGTATAGCCATAGGCAAGTGCCGCTCATTTCTGCCAAATTGACACCAAAGCAAATTAACGAAAATGTCAAAAGTATGTTTATTAAAAATAGAAAAGTAGAGTACCTGGGCGTTCATACATGCGTTCCCCTATCTGATTCCCATGGATGACCGAGTCGTTCTCGCTCAGCCCTCCAATCAATTCTTTAAAGCTAAATTTGGAATTATACTTCAGCCAAACATAACGTCTACCCTCCATATCTGTTGCAACTTCAAAGTCAGATTTCGACATCACTCTTAGAAAGTCTTTTCCACGATTGCAAATGTACAAATTGACATCAAAAAAGACTTTGTTCTGCAAGGTATCTGGCTGATCGAGGTCCAGAGCTGGACCCATGTACAGTTTTCTCAAATCTTCGAATTCTATCCGGAGTCTGTGACACCGCCTTGGAACCTGTTTCACTGTGACATCAAAAACACTGTTCGCATGCACAAAATCTCTGTCTTTCACAATGTCTATACCATGATGCTTCATGAAATACTTTTGTAGGCCGGTTCTTATGTACTTCAAAGATGACGGAAAAGGCTCGACGTCCTGTGACTTCATAGTTGTGTAGAAATCTTTCAGATAATCTGCAATCTGAGCGGGCGGCATCATCGCCAGGCTCTGCAAACTGTGTCCCTTCGCACTCACGTAGTCTTTGAAATAGTTAATTCCTGTCCTAATGACAACTTCAGGTTCGTCGTCGTTCATACTCCCTTCATCATCAGCTTCAAATTTAGGGGTAATCAGGTCAGAATTCATCATGATAACACGGCTTATTACGCACCTGTCTTACTTAGTTTTCCATCTTGTTTCTGTTTTCCCTCTGACGTCACACCTGCATGCTGTCAACTTCCGCTAACAGGTCGTTCTAATATCATGCGACATATTTTTCATGGTTGTACTTTCCGATTTCGACGTTTTCATTCCTTTTTTATGCATAAATATCTTTCAGCAATTTTTGTGCAAATGTTTCCAGTAAAACTTATATTGCAATTACATTCTGCGCATTTTAGTCAGCAATAGCTGAAACCTTAACATCCCTTCTTTTAAAAATGGAGTCGCCCTTGTAAAGTTTTCGCAACATCCGGTGACCGTGTCATTCCCTTACTAAAGGGGTGACGTCAGACTCCCAGGTTTGCCCTGCGTACTGACCTACTTTCGTTCCAGAACACTCGGCAGGGTAAATTTTATGTTTTCAGTCAGCAAAGAAAATATGCATTTCTTTTGGTGACATGGTTTTGACTAAGGTCTGTAAATGTTATTAAAGTAGAGTTTAGTATTCAAAGTCTGCACGGGCATTGGAAGTTAATATAATTATGGTAGGCCCTAATTGGCCTAAATATCGCGTCAGGATCCACAATACCCCAAACCCGAATTTGCTCCAAAATGAATGTTCTGTCTTCCTTTCTCATACACGCACATACATGTACTCTCTACAGCAACTTCCAGTTCCCGTGATTAAAAGTCCTATAACTTGTTTGAGCTTTATCTAGAACCTTGGATAAATTAATATTTAAATTTAGAAAGGATGGAGAAAAATGTATTTAGCCTATACAAAAGAAAAAAACCTTTTTCTTCATATTTTAGAATGGGTAGGAAAAAAAGAACCTCAGTTTGCCAGAGAAAGAAATACCATTATAAAAAGAGGAAGTTCACAAAAGAAGATGATAATTGTCTGGTGAAAAATGGACCTCTTGTGGAACATGGATATAGTGTGCCACATGAACTAAAAATTGTAGAAGAATCGGAGAAGTGTGATCCGCAGGGAGGCTGGGAGTATCAATGTAGTGCTCCAAGTGAAATGATTAAACATGAAACAGATAATTGTGATGCACAGGTAGACTGGGAAAATAAAAATAATGCTCCAGGTGAACTAGAAGAAACCATAAAATGTGAACCACATGTAGTCGACTGGGAATATAATGTTCAACATGAACTAGAAGAAACAATGAAATGTGAACCCCATGTAGACTGGTACGCCCTCACAACAACTGATTTTCAGACTAATGATGAACCTACACATACTGATCATGAATTTAAGCATGTTCAACTCGCTGAGCCAACCATCGAGATAGAAACTGCACTCGCACCTCTCCAAATCCTTTATAACGACCTGCAAGCATGCGAATTTCTCAAAATGTATTATCTTTTAGACTTCAATGATGATGCTATAAATATCATAGAAATGTACCGCAGTTCCCCAGAGAGAACAGGTGTCAAACTTTCAGTCGTTATTGATACAGAGTTTCATGCCAATCTTTTTGTACATAGGAAAGAAGTGTCAAAATCTCACCCATGTTGGGATGGAATGCCCAGTGAGTTTTCAACAGCAATGTTGGTAGAGAACCTAATGAGAAGATTAAGAACTTTTTCTGTTTGTTTTGGAAATCCTGATGAGGAATTTCATAGCATTGCCCCGGTGAACTGTTTGGTCAAGAGTGGGGTTACTAACCATATAGTCGCATTTCGAGAAGGGGATTTTTGTGCCACTGTGGGGGATGTTTCATATAGCTCATGCATCCGATCTGTAAACTGCTCTTTGATAGTGGAAAGCAGCAGATGCAAGCCTTGCCAAGGGGTTCGTCGAATGCTTAAGTCAAGAAAATCAAGAGAAATAGAAAGATCTATAAAAACAAAAGATATGAATTTTGTTCACAGTAAGACATCACATAAAATAATGAGCAGGACAAATTTGATCACTAAAATTGAACAGCAGAAAGAGGAAATAAAATTATTGTCCAGTGAAGTAGAGAGACTGAAGAAACTGTGCAACAAAGGACGTGTCTGGAGTATTTCAGAAAAGAATGAAAGTATACTAATAGCCCACCCATTTTGTAAAATAGCATGGTCAAACCTTAATTCATTGAAAAAATGATTGATTGTACTCCAGTCTACAGATGTTCAATAGAAGCAAACTTGAATGACGTACTTGGAATTATAAATTGAGATAAGCTGGGGACTTGCTTAACCATTTTTTTTTCTTCAAAAGTCAAATGATGTGTAAACTGAAAGTCATTTGTTTACTTTACAAAGATGTATTAGAACAATGAATGCACTGAGAGATGTAACAATGCCTATTAGTCATACCCAGTGTCTTTCAATCACGTGCAGGTGTAAAGTAAGTTCCAAAGATGTACCCGTATCTGAATCATGCAATAAAGAGATCATTAGATATTATAAATGTACAATGTGATTAGACTTTGTTAATTTGTATACAAATATATATAATACAAGAGGCCCATGGGCCATAACACTCACCTGAGTAACTATGGCCCTTCTTATTCTTTATCAGTACTGTAACAGTAGATTCTTTTCCTATACATTCCTAAAACTTTGATTGCCCATTATAGCCCAACCCTATTCCCAGGATTCATGATTTGAAATGGAATAAACTTGAATCTACATTACCTGAAGATGCTTATATATAAATATAACTAACCTTGACTTCCCTGTTCCTGAGATTAAATTTTAAAGATTTTTTCTATGTATACCCATGTGAAACTTTCATTGCTAATTGGGGCCCCACTTACCCCCGGGGCTCGTGATTTGAACAAACAAATATATTCTACCTGTGGATGCTTCCACATAAGTTTCATCTTTTCTGGCTCGGTTGATCTTGAGAAAAAGATTGAAAAGATAACAGATGGACAGACAGACAGATGCTGTAAAAATGCGATCAGAAAAGCTCACTTGAGCCTTCGGCTTATGACATACAATGGCTCTCCTATTCTTGAAAAGAAGAATTTTAAGGACTTTTTCTATAAATTCCTCAGTAAAACTTTGATAGCCCACTGTGGCTCCATCCTACCCCAGGGGATCATGATTTGAACAAACTTGGAAACTACGCTACAGTGTACCTATGGATGCTTCCATATATATATCACTGCTCTTGGCTCTGCTACTCTTGAACAAAAGATTTTTCCTTTTTAGCTCACCTGAGCTGAAAGCTCAAGTGAGCTTTTCTGATCACCCGTTGTCCATCTGTCCGTCCGTCTGTCTGTCCGTCCGTCTGTAAACTTTTCACATTTTCAACTTCTTTTCAAGAACCACTGGGCCAATTTTAACCAAATTTGGTACAAAGTATCCTTGGGTAAAGGGGAGTTTAAATTGTTAAAATAAAGGGCCAAGTCTCCTTACAAGGGGAGATAATCAAGAAATTTGGTACAAAGTATCCTTGGGTAAAGGGGAGTTTAAATTGTTAAAATAAAGGGCCAAGTCTCCTTACAAGGGGAGATAATCAAGAAAAGACAAAAATAGGGTGGGGTCGTTAAAAAATCTTCTTCTCGGGAACCACTAGGCCAAAAAAGCTGAAACTTATGTGGAAGCATCCTGGGGTAGTGTAGGTTCTAAATTGTTCAAATCATAACCCCGGGGGTAGGGTGGGCCACAAAAGGGAATCCAAGTTTTACATTGAAATATATAGGAAAAATCTTCTTCTCAAGAACCACTAGACCAGAATAGCTGAAACTCATATGGAAGCATCCTTGGGTAGTGTAGATTCTAAATTGTTCAAATCATAACCCGGGGGGTAGGGCGGGGCCACATCTGGCCCATTGGCTCTAGAGAAGATTTTTTAATGACCCAACCGAATTTTTACTTTTTCTTAATTACATCTCTCCTTGGAAGAGGTCCTTTATTTGAAAAAAAAAAATGAATCCCCTTTGCCAAAGGATACTCTGTGCCAAGTTTGGTTAAAATTGGCTCAGTGATTATGGAGAAGATAAAATTGTAAAAAGTTTACAACAACGACAGAGAACAGACAAATTTTGATCAGAAAAGCTCACTTGAGCTATCGGCTAATAAAAGCTTGTGCCAATGTTTACAAACACAGGTATTTCTTGTAAGGCTATGAAGAATGATATTTAATTGTAACAGGAGAGGAGAAAAATGAAACGGACCAGAACCCGGGCCCTCTGAATCTCCAGTCATGTCTTTCACCTGTCATTTTCAGGGGATGGCACTGCAACCAATGTAACAGGAGAGGAGAAAAATGCAAGGGACCAGACCTGTATTCGAATCCGGGCCCCTTGAATCTCCATTCATGTGCTCTACCAACTGAGCGATTTGGCCACCAGCTATTGAGCCCGCCTGACTGCCACATAATATTTTAGAATTTTCATGCAAGTACACTTCATTGAACTGAAAAAAGTTTTGAAATATAATTATTGAGAAATTAAAATTTGTAAACAAACCAGCAGTGCAACTGTGTTCGTGCCCCTTTAATAACTACCCAGTACCCCAAGATATGGGGGTGAAAAATGTTATCTCTTTTGTGTTCCATAGTGAAATTGCACTCATGTCAAGCAGAACTAACCTTTTGAGACAACTTTAAAGATTATTAGATTCTAAAAGATTTTAATGTTGGTATATCTGAAAAATTTGAAAAGAGTCAAAGTAGCGTCAAAACCACCCCAAAACTTCTCAGTATTGTCACTACTAGCGGAATGGTAAGAGTTGTCGCGCTTTATAAGCAGTTGTAACATATCACGCGCGGATCCAGGATTTTTTTCTGAATGGGGCGGGGATCAACTCAAATTTTTTCGACAAGCAAATAAAAATTACCTGGTTGTACAAATGCACGAGCTTGGGAGTGCCTTTGTACAGCCGACGAGTTCCAATATTCACCAATAAAACTTCTAAAACCCATTACGGGTGTGTGTGTGTGTGTGTGGGGGGGGGGGGGGGGGTTGTAAAATACCTAGGTCAATTCTTTTTCAGAGACAAGACTCTCCATACCAATATGTGAGGCGTCTATTTTTTATGGGTTTCACCAAGGTCATTTGGGGTTACTTTACATAAAAAAGATTTATATAAGTACATGAAATATGAAAATCACAGGAAAGGGGATCTGGATCCCCATTCTCCCTCTAGATCCCCGCATGAGTATGTTTAGCGTAACGGATCCGGAAAAAAATGGTAGGCCTAAAGACTTAAGTTGAAACGTATAATGTGCAGGAAAGATTGAAAGCAATCTTGTTATTTACATTTAAGAAACATTTTATAGTCTTGACAGGACAGGTAGAAGTATACCGCGTACATTATAACAAACAAGGAGTATTAAAATTAGTTAATGTTTTAAAAAATATTTAATATCAGGTAGATTACATGTATCAGCTGACAATTTTTTCTTTAAAAAAATGCTCCAAAGCAGAATTTTAACTCTAGTAAACTACTCTGTGAAGAGTTACGTGTATCAACGCATTCTGATGTTGATGCGATTAATATTATGAGAAAGACACCCTTAATATTAAGATATCCAAATATGGACAATGAAGTGGAAAATCTATAGATTGAATTAATTTGGAATTAATACAACAAAAATCTTATTGTTTAGGTATGTATAGTATCGTTTTTGAAAGGGGGGGGGCAGCCATGCAGAAAAATATTGACAACTTACCTGAAAAAAAAAAAAAAATGACAAGCGGGAAAAAAATTGCCCAAACTCGAAAGTCCTTTTTCGTGGGGGGAAGGGAGAGGGGTCCAACTTCTTTCACAACCAAATTTTATTCATACATTACTTTCATATTACCCTAGTTTGACTTACTGAAACAAATATCATGTTGTAAATTTTGAATTTACTAGGGCGAGGTAAATGCAAAATTTACAACATGATAATTTTGCATTTACCTCCCCCTAGTAAATTCAAAATTTACAACATGATACAAAAATGGAGGGCCAGCCTTTTAACGAACACTTTCAAGAGTAAAAGGTAATGTTTGGGAAAAAAAGTGGGGTGGGGGATGGGGGTCCCCAATACTACGTGCCTGTTTGTTGTAAAAGGATAAACCGAACTATATGTAAATAAACGATAGATATGACTGTAATTATTGCGGTTTGGGGGCTCAATACGATGATTTACTACCCGAGAAGTACAATATTCACCGAGCCCGAAGTACATTAATATATGATATTTATAATCCGCCATGGAATGACCTTGATTTTATTATGCAATTGTATTTGAATATTCCCAGAGTTCCAATCAAACGTTTTACACAGTTGAAGATAATATGCTCTTTTTGGATACTTTTGTATCCGCGGTAACTAGTGATTTCTATGTTTAGACACTCACACATTCTAACATGTAAATCCTTATCAATTCCTCTCGGGAAAGATCTTAAGTAATTGGTAATATTTATCTGAGTATATTTATACGTATTAGCCAAACTTAAAATACAGTATAATGGTCGTCCCGAAATATGCCTTTATAGTGATATGTGTTTTTCTTGTGTGGTCAGGATTTACAGAGTCCCACCGTGAAGTAGCGACCGAGTCTTCCTCAGATGACATCCGGATGCTGCAACAGGAACTGTCGTCACTACGACAGGAAGTCGAGCAGCTCCGACAGGAAGTAAGACAGAACCCCAAAACTGGAAGCGACCGCGCATTCAGGAGAGATGAAACTCAAAATAGAATATTACTAAGTCAAGAAAGAAATCGACGATTATTACTAAACTCACAAAAGGTCACCACAGGTATACAGTTGATATTTATCATTGATTTTTCTGGACGGGGGTTAAGTGACACCATTTATTATAGTTTATTGTTATTCTAGTCTTCAAACGAAGGTTGCATGCGGATGTACCGTCCAAATTTTTAAAATACATGTAATTTTAGATTGTGCATATATACTAGCATGTATATTGCAAATTAAGATCATTTAGACTCTCGGCAGAACATTTGTTTTATCTGAGTTTATTTGAAGTTCAAGAAGACTAACGTGTAAAATTTCGAATTTTCATCTACACTAAGAAATTTTCAACAGACTAAGAAAAGTATGCTAGTAAACGTCATGGCGTATCAAACTAATTTAAGGCTGTCCAAATTTCATTCTATGTGCAACGTCACCTGCGCGCGTAGGTTTCGGAGAAATTGCCACTTTGAAAAAAAAGCAAAGTGAGTTTTTTTAAGTTTCTATTTTTAGTTTGCATTTACTTTTAGAATCCGAAACTGCTTTCCGTAGAGATGGACAACATTTGGGCCCTTTGTGGGGTATATTTGAGCTGAATATATCATTTAAACTGACAGATTTACTGAAAATGATCATAATATAATAAGCCTACATGATGTAAAAATATTGACAGTATTTTTATTCATGTACCAGATGACTTAATACTCATAGGTTTTGAAGTTTATAGGTGACGTTAAACGTAGAATTAATCTTAACCAGCTTAATGCTAATTTTACTCTTTATTATCTTAAATTTTTTTTTGTAGAAATAGCTTTCTATGCAAACAGACCCATTGATTATCAGAATATCTCCGTCCATCAAACTCTGGCCTTCGGAAACGTCATCTCAAACGTTGGTAACTGCTACCATGGTACATCCGGGATCTTTACCCCCAGCGTCTCTGGTGTGTACGTTTTTCACGTACAATTAATCATGTGTAGCGTCGGGCATGACGTCCGCACGGAGCTGGTCGTGGAGGGTGTCAGTAAAGGGGGGCACTACGCAGGAGGATCGACGACGTGCGCCAATGGAGGGGGGTCGACCATTGTTCACGTGAACGCCGGGGATGCCGTCTGGGTTCGCGAGACTACATCTGACGGGAAGAACCTGTTTGGCTGGGAGACAAGCTTCTCTGGGTTTTTACTGTATGAAGATTAATAAAAAGAAATCAGAAGTCTATTTTTGAAAGTTTTTCTTACTAACTTGGACGTGAAATACATGTATGTTTAAAGTTGTTATAGACAAAGAAGTTGACCCTTCTGATATATGAACACATTGTGTTTATCTGTAGTACTAATTCATATAAAAACACAGTGTTTACCTAGTACATGTACTAATTTGCTGTACTGTGCATTCCTGTTTTGAATAAATCGCTATAATTAGAGAAGGAAATATGCGCTGAAAAGAAACCAACTTTGAAATCATCTGGGGATTTTTTTTCACCTAGTCGGAAATATCTGACGTTTTCCAGGCTTTTTTTCCCCCCACGATTTTGATATTTTACGTGCAAGGAAAACACCAGAACCGGCGCCATTACGAAAACTGGAAATTTCGCCGTCTCCAACCAGAGTTGATTTTCGATACTTGCGAACCGAATTATATGCCAAACTCACAATTTATCAATAGCACTCCACATTTCATACAGGACTTGCAAGATTTTAAAACGCACGAAATGAAAACAAATCTCGACAGTCAGATAAAATGTTTTCACCGGATCATATATTATATAAACGAACCATAAAAACAATGTTGGTTAGTACTAAAAGTATTGTACTATTGATATGTTGTGAGTCTGACATTTAATTCGGTTCGCAAGTATCGAAAATCAACCAGAGAATGCCGCCTCCGGTTGGAGGCGGCGAATTCCCAGTTTTCGTAATGGCGCCTGTTCCGACCTTTTCATTGCACGGAAAATATCAAAATCGTGAAAAAAGCCTGGAAAAGGTCAGATATATCGGACTATTTTTCACCCAGAAGTCTTCTCTTTAATTAATGGGATGAGAGAATTGAACTCAGTCACGGAGATAACACAGAGTGAGTGATATTTTCAATAAAAAAAAAACAAACTTGGCATAGAGCTGCAACGTTTTCAGTGATTCTGAACATTGTATAACCTCAGATCTCAACTAAATAGAAAAATTAAGTTCAATGAAATGTAAAGTGTGGCGAAGTTGAAACCACTGATAACCAATAACACAATTACAGTGTATAATGTGTATTATCTAAACGTATTCAGAGATATGAACAGAATTATGAATTTAACAGGTTTCTATTAACCTATAAGTTAAAATGGTGTCACACACGTGAATATTCCAGATCATGTGATAAAAAAATGATCATGAAATCTTTGTTTACCAACATGCTCGTGTAATGAATAATATCTAGTGTATGCATGAAAGTAATAGCGGTAATTTTCATAATTGAGCGAGTAATTTTTTATGGAACCAGAATCAAAGCTTTACCTGGATTGAATCAAAGATTCAATCAAGACGATTATTCTCTATACAAGGACCTGTCAAAACAAGGACGCAAGGGAATGATACAGCTTAATGAAATAAATTCTGGACACCCAACAGCAACCTCTTGCGCTTTTGCGAGGGGATGCTATGCTTTTAATCAATTTCGGTGCCCTACTGTTTAACCGAGGTACGATCCAGTTCGATCAATAATCCGCCGAACGTCTAAAACTTTAGCTAATGTAAGAAAAAAATTACCTGGGCAATTATTATTCCCACAGACCTAATGTTATTAAATTCATGGAACTAATGTCAACCAAAAACGAAGAAATGCTGAAAAAAACTATGTATTTTTATCTTAAAAATTTATGATGCTGTCTGTCCTCCTTGATATATTTTCCCCTCTCTTATTTATTTTCTTTTTCAATCATCTGTCATGTTTTTTGTTTTGTATATGTACCTCTGACCTGATTGTATATAATGTATATATGTTATTCATGAACCCCATGTACCAATATTTTGGTTTGGGTGAATAAATTGAACTTGAACGTCTGCGCAGTAGCCAAACGCTTATTAGAGAGTGATCAGGAAATATGCTAGTCGATGTTAAAAACGAAGCACTTGCTACAACCCATCCTTTCCTTATTATGTTCATAGCAATTACTGAATACAGGCCATAAAAGCGTGTACAAGTTCACTTACGTGAAATACCCGACAGAGTTAAGAATATACTATAGTATGCCGGATTGAATGTTTTGAAAAAAAGATACATAGAATTTGAATTGACTCGACTAAATTTATAACCCCACTTTACAAAGAATTCAGAAAGATACCATCAAATTAATCTCTACGTGCATGTACTGGTTGAAATATATACTGACCCCAAAATGTCTTATCAATGTGGAACGAAATTCGGCATATAACAAACAATGTGTATAGATTTTATATAATAAACCTTGTTTGTTTAAAGTCATTTATCTCAAATGAAAGTTCGGCAATCAAAAAGACGAAAATACCGCAAAAAGGTGTGAAATTTATGATGCACGATGATAGAATTGGCACCCAGCATTTATCTATCTGACTTTAAACTAGTGTGGGCATTTTAAAGAAAATATCAGTCATATATTTGCAATGTGAAAGATTCCATATGTAGTAAAGATTCACCAAGTAATCTTAATTTTGGAACCTTTTTTAACTTCATCATAAATAAAGCCATATTTATTTATTAGAACTGCCCAAAATTTTAATCAAATTATTCAACATCTTTATAAAATATACCAAATGCTGTTTTGATCTGCCACCTAATCGATGTTACATCCACATACCAACTGTCAGATTCCATAATTATACAAATCTGGGCAATGCCAGACTTGTAATCACTAAAGAATTGAGCTCTCTCACTCGGGAATTTAAAACTGATGACCAGTTATCAACAGAAAAAGGACAGACTTACCTGATGTAACATACATCTATATATAAAAACATCCTCACCAAGACAAATTTACTGTAGCATATGATTTCAAAATATTTGGGGATTTCATGGGTTCTTCAAAAAAATGAACAACTCCAAGGATTTTTCATCTTGTAATATAGGTTTGTAATAAGATTAATTTTATGGATATGTTGTCTTTCATATTGAAATTTTCGACTATAAAATTATATATATATATTTTTTTGAATAATTCAAAAAATTGACTTGGGTGATTAAAAGGATTTCACAGTATGCATATTTATTTATTGTTGTTTTTTTCACAGCGAAACTATAATCTCAAATTCTTATTGCGCATTTATTTTGACATGTTTAATTATCTGCAAAAAAGTTCTACACTTTCTACAATCATCCTTTAAAAAAATAAATAAATAAATAAATAAATAAATACCTCCAGGCTTTTGATATCATGCATAAACAACAGTTTCATGAAAATACAAGGCGGAAGTGCTTATATCTTAGGATTATTTATATTCAAAATCAACAGAAGAACATTTCCTTACTTCTGATCCGACAGAAAATTAAATAATCTTTAAAATTGATTTTAAAAGAGCGCTGAAATTCCTTATTAAACAATACTTTGTAGTCCTTGGAGACCAAACCAATATCTCTCAAGAATTTGTGGAGCTTGGCAATGGTACATTTTTTGATCGGTCGTCTACAAAATTACTTTGTTTAAAATGAGTCTGATTCTACTGACATTTATGCTGAAGTTGGTATAAAAATGTGCTGAATTTCCTTATTAGCTGGCAAAATCTTTTTAGAACTTGAGAGCAGATCTTCCAACAATCTAAGGGATTTTCAATGAACATTTATTCAGCTCCTAAGTCGACTTGTTTCTATATTCTTGTGAATCAGAATTTATTCAAAACCCTCTGTAAAAAGGGAAGAAAATCATTTTGACTTTACAAAGAGTATATTTTATAATTTAACAGTAGTTATTTTCATTTGTATGTCAACACGATATTTCTCAGTGATCTAAAAAAAGACGCCACAGAGTCTACGAAACCTGTTTCATATTTGGATGTTTTAAATGACTTTGAACGATAATGCCAAACGAGCAATAAAATTGTATACAGATATCTTCTGCTTTTTCAAGTCAGTTCCTCCTATTTACGCAGTAATTTTTCCATCCCCTGAATATAGTGTTTATATCTCCAGAGTACGTAAAAGCATGTTGTAAGCACGATCAATTTAAAAATCGAGACAGGCTTCTGACAAATAAGTCCATGTTACAGGAATTTCAACAATTTTGGTTTAAGTATTCACTTTGCAAATTCTATTATGTTTGTAATTTTTAAATATATGAACCTTATATACCATATAGATAATCAATATAAATAAAAAAAAGCGTTGGGTACTATTTTTACTGACATATTTCATATTTATTGTTTGGCAGTTGTTTTTGCATTAATTTCGATTAAGGATACATCCTTCTACTTGATCAATACAGATGGCGGACTCAGAAGTCCTCCTAAACTTCAGATAAGATTAATCAATGTTCGTAATCTTCACCATGTTCCTTTGTTTTTTCTAAAATTAAAAAAAAAAGTGCCAATGAAGGGAAAATGTGATTATATCGATATGTTTGGAAGGAAAATAAGACTTATTTTGTAGTACTCGATGAAATAAATAGAGGTCTCAAGTATCCTTATCAATTCTTATCAAGGACGTTTCGTGATTATTCTGTAGATGAGGGTTTCCTAATTGTTGTTTAAATCAAACCAGCTATGGCAATTACTAGGATTGTGATTCTTTTCTCTTTTATTGGCTGTATAACATCGGAGGACCTGAAAAACGATGGTACATCTAATGAAGCCTGTTTTGACGAACTCAGGGCACTGCGAATGGAGTTAGCGGCACTGCGAAACGAAGTCCTACACCAGAAAGAAGAAATAAAAGAACTCCAAGAAGAAGTGGCGCGAAAACCGGAAAAGTGTGAGCATATTCAAAATGATCATACTGCAGAGGAGGCTGAGAATCTAGAGTCCGTCCAAACTCAGAATGAAACTCCTCAAACAGAAGATGGTTCAATCAGAAGAAGACAAGAACTGACACATCCAACACCAAATCATTTACAGGAAACAGGTAACTGTACAGACAGCTCTAATACAGAAAAATTGCACAGTAAACAAGCCTTTTTATGTAAATTCTTTATAGCTAAAGATACAAAATTTCAAATTAAGTATTGTACACCAAAGAATTAATGTTTT